GGTCTGCAAAATGTGAAACTATGCATCTAAGCTTTCCATAAAAGGAAAACACAGGTGAAGAAAAGGTACAGCTTTGCAAAATCAAACTTATGCCTCTAGCTTAAGAAAATGACAGGATCTTGAATGGGAAGGGATAGCTCATTCATGACTGACAGGCCTAGCTTGCAAACAGAATCCTTTCCACAAGGTACCTGCACTCTCCAATTCTATCGCTTTGGAGGGAGAGATGCTGAAGGAATATGCACTTTCTCACTACAGTATTCTTGTTCTTTTGCTGTTCTGTTCTACAGAGCAAAATACATCAGAAAGTTTGGATGCATCCCTCCCTTAGGCACCCTTTTCCAATCATTGTCCAACATCTTTGATCCTTTAATTCCATTCTGATTTTATATGTTCCAAGTGTTCTTGTTCTCCTGAGTAGCGCGTGTGAAAAGTCTGGTCCCTTGCTCACCATTTTGCCTAGAGAATAAGGCATATCCCTTCTTAAACACACAAAATTCATAATTAAATCCTTTCTAGCAAGAAGACAAATAAATCCTGGGAGAATTTCTCTGTGTGTAATAACCTTCTTGCTGTGCCTCCAGGAGGTGTCTACCATTTCCCCAACACACACACTGATTCCCTGGCAGGCACACCTGAACTCTGATTAGCTGGAAACTACTTTAGCCTTTAAGCCTACTGTGGGTCCTGAGCCCTTAAAATGGGCCTTGGCCATACAGACATTGTCCCTCTTGATTTCCCCAACCTGCAACTGATGCTTGAAACTTCCAGTGCCAGAAGTGACCATTAAGAGTAAGTTCGCAATGTTCATTTGGATAAAGTGTAGGTGATTTAAGACCACTAGTCTGGCGCAGTGTTTTATTTCAACTCTGAGCTTCGTACCTGCTATTTCTCTTCCACACCCCTTTTTTTTACTTCTACAGTGGTACCTTGGGTTACAGACGCTTCAGGTTACAGACTCCACCAACCCAGAAATATTACCTTGGGTTAAGAACTTTGCTTCAGGATGAGAACAGAAATTGTGCAGCGGCGGCACAACAGCAGCGGGAGGCCCCATTAGCTAAAGTGGTCTTCAGGTTAAGAACAATTTCAGGTTAAGAATGGACCTCCAGAAGGAATTAAGTTCTTAACCCGAGGTACCACTGTACTCAATTTGAATAAACTGCTTAATTGGATTTCTGGGCTGTACTGATTTCGGCGCACACTCGGTGGCATTTTATCCTCCCACCATGTGGCTTAGGCTGCTTGGGGCTACACTAGGGGTTGTCAAAGTGATTGGATGAGCAGACAGGAGACAGGCTGAAGTTGCAAAAAGTCTCAGAAGTCAGCTGGCTGCTCTCCAACACTCAAGGAGATCACTGTAAGGCAGTGGGAATCCCGCACCCTTGGCATTAGGTGACACAGAAAAGGGTTGTGGCAGCAGAGAGAAACTACTGCAGGTTCCCTAAGGCTATGAGCTTGCCCTTCAAGTTTGGTGCTGAAACAGGGGACCGTCCTACTGTCACAGAGTGCAGTGTTTTAGTTAGCCTTGTAGTTTGGAGGCCTTTGCTTCTGCACAACTTTGTGTTATATTTTTCAATCAATCCAAATGATTTTTTAAGAAATGTGTGTATCACTCAACCTCTTGTTTTTAATGATATTATTTCTCCCATGTGTGGTCATGTCCCAAGTGATTATTTTCATTTACCAGGCATGATTGTTATTAATATTACTTAGCGCTTACTGTCCTTGTGTGCCTCTTTTCCACATACACACTAGGGTCTTTTACTGAAGTACTATTTTGTGTGAATAAACACTCACTGCAGAAAAGGACCACACAACAATAACACACATTTAGCAACGTGTGTTGCCCCCATCTACCTTGTGCCTGATCAGGGCAAGAGGTGGGGGCAGTGGGAGAGATGGCTCTCTGAGGGCTCCACCCACTAAGCTGAAATGCACCTTCTCTGTTGTAGCCAGAAATAGTGATGACATTCAACAGCTGCAAGTTCTCTCTCTTTCTCAGGCTGGCAGAACTAGCAGTGGGAGCAAACAGCAGAGAATACGGTTTTGCTTTGTGTTCGCAGCAGAACCTAGATATACAACCTGCCTGCTTTGTAGGAAGCAGCTAAACAGGGAGAAGCTTCCAGGGCACTATACCACCAGAGCTGTCATCACACACCCGTAAAGGATGGAGAGAGCCAGGGCAGGACTGCACTGGTGGTGCACAAAATTCACATACCCTCGTTCCCACCACCAACTTGATGTTTTCCTCACTGTCACTCTGCTGGACACATTCCAATCTGGCAAACAACAACACTGGCACAGCTGGGAGGATGCCATGACCGACAGGATTTCGGGTGGGATAAGTATATGGGTCCACAAAGAGCAAGTTTCCAATGCCCACATTAGCCTATTCCTCAAATCAAAAGACTTTGTTTGCAGCTCTATGTGCAGTAGAACCAGTAGCACCTCTCTAATGCTGCTGAATTTTTGACCACAAACAAAACCACAGGGAGGAAAAAGAATCCCTTTCAGTCTTCAGTCTACATACACACACACACACACACACACACACACACACACACTGTCAACTTAAAGGAACCTAGTACAAAACATCCTAGGCCCATTTGTATGTAATTTGGCAGGTTTCACATCTAGGGGCACGTCTGCTATTTTCAGATCAATCGCCCACAAAACACTAGCAGAGACAGAATGAATCTCTTTGAATTTATTGTTCTATTGTCAGTGTGCTGCCCCAGCTTTTTTTTGCCCATTACTAACTTTCTTTGCTACTAGTGACGAATAAGCATAATAAATCTTTCTTTCTTTCTTAGCATCCCAAAACTGCAAATGCCATCTTTATGAGGAATCTGCAGCAGCTATCTTTCTTTGGTAGGCTTCATGCCCTTAGAAGGGACTACCATGCCTGCAAATTTTATCAATTTCTGCAAAATATGAGAACTATAAAATGTTATTCTAAAAAAAGATGAAACTTTAAAAGACAGCTACCACAAAAAACGCTGTATTGATTTGCCTGTAATTTGTCAAATTTTATCCACTTTGGAGGGGCTATTATGCCCACATAAATCATGTATCTCTTTCAAAAGGAATAACATTGGAACATTTTTTAAATTTCTCAACAGTGCATAGGTAAGAACAAAGCCTCATTTTTCTGAAGAAGATTCAGACCCCCGAGCTGAATCACAGAGTCTCTGAAGTCCTTTGGACCAAACTGGGCTGTTTTCCATAGCGCCAACTCAAGGTCCAATCAAATATTGCGGTTGGTATATTCCCTACATGTCAGGGTCTACAACTTAGTAATTACTGTTAAAATAATGCTAATGTTTTGCTACCAAACTTTTCTCTAGGTTCCCCTCTAAGGTGGAGAACAACTGCAACCCCAATCTAAGCCCATTGAATTTTGTGGCGCTTACTAAAGAAGAAATATATTTACCTAAGCTGATTTGCAAGATGTGTACAACCCAAATTAAAAGTGGCATTTTGACTCTCCATAGCATGGTATTTTGGAATAAGAAGCAAGTAGCTCTTGACCATGTAGGGCCCTGCCCCCAAACAACTGCTCTTGGTGTTTTCTAAAAACACAACATTTTCAAATGCTGATAATGAATAAGAGCACATGTTCACCACACAGCCTGTTCTTGCATACTGATATTTTGTAATTATTTTTATTCCATATGACAAACTGGAATATATCCAAGAGCACCATCACATAAACATCTACACTCTGTGTGTTGCAAAGAAGCCTTAGCAGAATTCAAAGAAGCCTAAAAAGTGGATTTAAAAACTGCATGTGTGCATACTACCTGAAATTAGACGGTAATCCGTGTCACAGGAATTGCAGATATTGTACTAAGACTGCATTTTCCAAGTAAAATCTTCTAATAGTAATTAACCTAATTGTGTTCCTGGCATCCTGAATAGCTCATTCTCTTGACACAGTGCTTGCAGAGCCAGAGCAAGCGACGGCAAAGAAGCCAGAAAAAGGCTTACAGCAACAGCACTATACACAGAAATCACAAACCTCCTGGGATTCGGGAAGTGGCTTAAAACACCAGAACTTTCAAACTTTCCCAGACATATTGAAAGGTGCTGTTGTATCAGCCCACTGTTTAATCAGCATAGTTCAACCATGCATTACAAAGGGCTGCACCCGCAAGCCCAAATGTAGCATGAATGAATTTGAAGAAACACAGAAAGTGACGTGCACATCTCGAATGGCCACTGAAAAAGGCTCAGAGTGAAATCAAATGACAGAATATGTGAATGTCCTCCAGATGTGGTTGGACTCCAGCTCCCATTATCCCTGACCATAGTCTATGCTGGCTGGGACTGAGTGGAGTTGGGAGTCTAGGCAACATCTGGAGGGCCACACATTGCCCTTTCCTTCCCTGCACCAGACACACTAACCTCCCATTCCCTTTCCTGTCTACTGCCAAGATGCACATCATTCCAGCAGGTTTTCCCCTTTCTAGGGTTTCCCTTCTGCCTTGTACCTGTCCTCTTCCCTTTTGTCTTCCACCTGGTTGGATCCTTGACTACTACGACCTTTCTCCCCCTACCCTTCCCAAAACAGCTGACCTGCCTCCCCTTATTACTTTCCTGTTCCCCTGCATTCAAAAGCTATCCTTGCATCCCTTGTCATTTAGTTTCAAGCTATTCAAAAGCCAGCTCTTAGATGCGCCCCATCACTCACTCCACTAGCCTTCCCCTCTTTTTCCCCCAGCTCAAGAAGGGGGGGGGGCAGAGAGAGAGAAATAGCCAAAAACTCATCTTATGGCGAGCCAAAGCACACAGCGCTGCCTGCTTTTCACCCAAGCCAGATCCCAGGATGTTATTAACCCCGGCCACGGCCATTGGCTTGGCTATTAATAACATCCTGGGAGGCTGGTTGGGTGCGATGAAGCTGTCCAGAAGGGAGATCCCCAAACAGTGGGACTTTTTTGGGGGAGGGGGGATGGTTGTGGCTCAGCACCCTCCCCCCCCCAACACCCGCTCACCTGCGGGGGGCATGGTGATGGTCTCGTTGGCGTTGCTGGAGCCCACGTTGTAGACGACCACGGCCGAGGCATTTTGCGCGGCGGCGTGCCGGATCTTATCCTTGTAAGTGCAGTTCCCCTTGGGGATGAGCGCGATCCAGATCTTGCCGGGCCCGGGCACGGCGAACCTGGCGTTGGGGTCGCAGGCTAGCCGGTCGGCGGCCGCCGAGGTCATCACCACCTGGCCCCAGACGTCGTGCTTGGGCGAGTGTTCCCCGTAGCGGCCGCACTCGGTCTTCTCGCTACGCAACTCCCCGCCTGCGCCGCCGCCTGCGCCGCCAGGATCCGGGTAAGTAATGTTCACGAAGGCCGTGTACCACTCCTCTTTCTCGGCCACGGTGAAATCCAGGCACAGCAGATGCACGAAACAAAAGGAAAGCAGCCATGTTGAGAGAGCCAGGCTGCGGCACGCTTGGATCACGGACATTGCCATCTTCGCCTCCTGCTCCCGCTCGCCCCCCCGCCGCGCGCGTGTCTGCATGTGGGGGGCGCGCGCGCGCGCGTGGAGAAGGCGCGCGGGGACACGCCAGCCCGGGCGGAGGAGGCAGGCGGCGCGCCCTCACCTTTGCAACCCGCTCGGCATTCCCAGCTCCTCTGCTGGGCGCGCGGGGGAAAGGAACAAAAGCGGACGGCGGCGCAGCCTCGCTTGCCGTCGGCCCGTCCTCCTCGCTCGCTCTCGGGCGGCTTAAGAAGGGCGGGCGGCCGGCTGGCTGGCTGGCTGGCTGGCGCGCCCGGCCAAGCGGGTCCTTTTCAGTGCCAGCTGGGCTCCCCAGAGACGCGGGCGAAGGCGGCCTCTTCTCAGCAGAGGGAAAAGCCCCCGAGAGGCAGCGCGCTGCTCCGGCGGCCTCTCCGGCTCTGGAGCTCCCTCATTCCCCCTCGCCTTGCGGGCTTCCCAGCCGCCTCACGCCAGAGGAGATGTTTTGTTTTGGAGGTTGGGGGGGGGTAGAAGGGGCGGGAAAAGAGGGAAGCTAAGGTTGGAGGGGGGAGCGAGGAGGTCGAGCGCAGGAGGAGCTTGCATGTGATGTCAAGAGCTCCCGCTTGCAGCTGCTCGGCTTTTGCGAGGCTGGTCTCTCGACTCCGAAGGGAAGGAAGGACGCCTGCCGGCAGACAGAGGGAAGGCAGCCTGCCCGGGCGCCGTGTGCAGGAGAGGGGAAAGGTGAGGAGCAGCGAAGCCCGCTTGGTCCCCCGTGAACTGGGGAGAGGTCACCAGGCCTCGTTCCAATGAGTCCCCGCAGGTGGGAGAATGGACTGCGCCCGCGCGGGAGGGAAGGCCTCTGTGAACGTCTCTTTCTAGAAGAAAATCTCTGCGAGGAGACAACTTGTCACAGCAGAGCAAGAGGCAGATCGAGAATTTTCAGCCTGATATACTGGGGTGATTTTAATAAAATAAAATAACTTCCAGGCAGGTGTTGTTGCTTTTTAAATTGTGGTTATAGGCAGTGCTTTTTAAAAAAAAATGTTTAGGGGTACTCTCATTTTGACTCAGGAAGATCACCATTTTATAGTTCAAATCGGGGAAAATAAATGCAGTAAATGGACAAAAGTACAGAGATTCACAAAATGTTTAGGGTATGCGTACCCCGGCGTACCCCCAGAAAAAGCACTGGTTATAGGGAATATTGGGGGGGATGGCAAGCCCCCGCTTGGAGTTTGAAGTGGTATGTTCCACTTTATCACCTTGGTTCCCCCAGGGAGCTCATTCTGCTGCAGGCCATAATGAGTGCAAGCTGCATGGTAAGTGGATTTGCACCAACTTATCCCAAACTGCTTAGCTATCCTGGTAACTCTTCAGTAACCATTCATACAAGCTTTCATTCAGTGTTATCCCTTGATCTCTGCTCACTCACACTTTCAGGGTTTTTTTAAGAAACCCTCACCCATCAGACAGAAAAAGCATTGCCAAAGCATTTGTAGCTGGTGTAACATTGCCTTTGCACAAAAATGCTCCCCCCCCCCCCGTTTTTTAATGGAGAGGGTAAGTGGAGGGAGGTCTGTCCACAAATCTTATGAATGAATCCACCTAGGAAAAGTGTGCGGTCATCAGATAGAGACTGGATCCTAGACAAAATGGGGAAGGAACAGAATATAAATGCAGGCTGGGATTGGTTCAATAGATCTATACAGTGGTACCTCGGGTTAAGTACTTAATTCGTTCCGGAGGTCCGTACTTAACCTGAAACTGTTCTTAACCTGAAGGACCACTTTAGCTAATGGGGCCTCCTGCTGCCGCCGCGCCTCTGGAGTACGATTTCTGTTCTCATCCTGAAGCAAAGTTCTTAACCTGAAGCACTATTTCTGGGTTAGTGGAGTCTGTAACCTGAAGCGTATGTAACCTGAAGCATATGTAACCCGAGGTACCACTGTACTGCTCTTTGCACTTTGCACTTGTTTCAAAAGCTTGCAGAGAGAAGGACAAATTAATCCTGGGGTGGGGTGGGGAGACGGCAGGTGCATGTGGACAGCCCCGGGCAATGAGTTACAGGTCTGGAACAGCCATCGCATCTCGTACATCAGCTTTCCTGTAGCTTGCCATCGCCTTCAGTGCAAGGGTCTTCAATGCAGCAAATCACACATTCAGCTGTGTGACTCACCAAACGCTGAGTCATCCAGTGATGCATGTGTGAATCAGTCCTCTGGGAGCCACAGCCAAGGTTTCCTCGTGTGCATTCATAGGCACAGCATGGGATTTCTGCTGTTAGTCAAGGACTGTAGGTGGCTACAAAACCATGTCTGCAGCTGATCCACTTTCCAAGCTCAAGTTTTAAAGACTTGTTTCCCTCCCTACAGCAACGAGGTTAGGCACATACTTGCATCTTTTCCTATCAGAAGCTACTCAACAAGCAGGAACATATGGAGTGTGGGGTTAGTCTAATCCGTGGCAGAAAAAAGGAAAGAAGAAAAAGCTGGTGAAACAGTGAGATCCAGCCGCACATCCTGTTAGTGTTGAGGCAACCTCTGACTGCCTCCAAGACTGCAGTCTTGTACACATTTACTGGCAAGTAAGCAGTGGGACTTACTTTTGAGTAGAATTCCACTTTATTAGTTTATGTTTCATTTTTTAGATGGCCACAACAACCCACGTTATCAAGCCTATTTGTATGTATGTTGAACCATTACAATAAATCTCTTGTCACCCTTCTCATAATACTCGCATTGTATATATGATGATAATAATATAAATGTTATGATGTGGTGTCCTGGTCCACCTTTCTTTGCTCTCTGCTTCTAGTAACTTCATGGCTCTTACCAGTGCTTAATTTCAGCCCCAGATTCAGCTCTGGAAATTTTTGAATTGTCAAGGCTCAGTTCGGGAATGCAGGAGTAAATAATGAAGATTATACCTCTGATCACATGCATACTTTTCTCAATACTCAGTAAAATCCCAGGGAATCCTTATACAACTAGGACTGGTCATGAAGAACTCTATTAACTGCCACTATTCTATTATACACAGCTGTGAGATAATCTTTGGCCTGAATCCAAAACTGCTGCTCCTTCTCCAGCCCTAGCCTAGCCACATCCTCACCATTGACAATTACTGTACTATAGTTGCTGACTGTCCACTCTCCTTTTCCATTATGTTCTTTGGGCTTGAGATTCTGATTCAGCCTTCTTTGATCTGGCTATTCACAGGCCACAGAAAACACTGATGACACAATGGAAGAGATAACATCCTTCTTTGTGTGCATGTATATAGCTTGGTCTCCTATATCTGCCCAGATGTTCATGCAAGTCATGCATTTCTAAAATATGGAAGCAGAACAGCAATAAGAGGAAGAGGTGGTAGTAGTAGTAGAAGAAGAACAATAAAATGTATTGATTGGAATAGATAAAAGAAGACAAAAAGTCTTCTTTCTCCAGAAGAGCAAAAAAGCAAAGCACTTCAGTTTTAATTGCAGCCACCAAACCTTTTGTAGAAGCATCACAACTGAATCATGTGAGCTCTGCATGGGGGTGGATCCTGCTGGTGGCAGTGATGGGCTTTGGTAATATGGCGCCTTGGGCAAGGACAAAATTTGGCGCCTCCTCTAAATATTTCTTATTTTCACAACAATTCCATTTGGTACAATTGCTTTTTTATGAATCTTCTCAGTGGGTACCCATATAAATATAGGTTTGTTGTTGTTGTTTTACATTCCTTGGCTCCGTGCCCTGTGTGGGGGGGAACCACTCACACTGCCCTAAATCTGGAGCTGCTGGTGGGATTTCAAGTGCTGCATGAGGTCTTGGTTGCTTTGCTTCCATTCTCTCATCTCAACAAGAGGGGAAGAGTCAAGGAGAAGATGGGCTGGGGACAAGGCTATGTGGGGTGGGGGAGAAGGGGAAGTGACCAGAGTGAATTGACGCCACGGGCTGGATGAAATTCAGCCATGGGCCAAGCAATGGAATAATAAACTGGGATTATTTATTGAAATATTCATATGCCACGCCTTCATTAAAAAAAAAACCCAGCAAGGTGGTCTACAGCATACAAAATTACAATAAAAACACCAGTAAAAGCATAAATAAAAAGAAATGCACATTGCAAAGGCCTGTCTGAATAACATCATTTTGAGAAGACATCTAAAAGAAGGCAAGGATGATTCCTGCTGAACGTCTGTTGGCAGGGAGTTCCACAGAGCAGAGCCAGCCACATGAAAGGCTTGGTCCCTTTCAGAAGCCAAGCGAACCTCAGGGGTGTGAGGAAGCACAAGAAGAGCCCCACCAGTGGATCTTGGTGATCAAGGTGGAGTGTAAGGAGACAGGCAGTCCTCAAGGTATTTGGGCCCAAGTTGTGTAGGCTTTTGCGAATTAACACAAGAGCTGCAAACCTGGCCTGGTAGCAAACTGGGAGACCAGCACAGCTCTCTCAGAAGAGGAGTGACATTTTGCCAGTAGCCTGCTTCTGTGAGTCGTCTGTCCCTTGCAGCTTCCAGACCAGATACAAGGGCAGTCCTACATGAAACATATTACGGTACTCAAGTCTTGAGGTTACCCCAGTGCATGGACCAAAGCACTCCATGACCCAGTGCTTTAATACACACACAGCCCACTGTATTGTTATCAAAGTTTCAAGAAGATGGAAAGAACAGTTCTTATGCAATGGCCAACAAAGAGGAAAGTAGAACAGCTCAACAGCCAAAGTAGGTGGAGAGAAATAGTTTTTCTTTTCATATGTCATCTCAGAGCAGAGGCTGGTGGGTGAAGGAGTAGCATCGGTGGGAGGCAGCTGAGTCATAGTCCTTTAGCTGCCTCCAGAGCTACTGGTGGGAGCTGAGGCTTTCACGAAGAATGGGGAAAAGCAAAACCCTTGACTATTTTTAGTTCTTCCATCCCTGCCGATAGCTGCTGGGGGAAAGATATAGCCTGACATTTTACATTTATTCTTCATCAAGGTAAAAGAAATGTAAAATATTTATTTCATAAAATTATATTCCACATTCCAAGGAGAACCCTCACAAAACAGCTTCCAACGAATGAAGGGGTGTGTGTGAACCAATGGGTGGTATTCAATTAAACATTACTCTGAGTAGACCTGCCTGCTGAAATCAATGGCCCTTTTTTTAAAAAAAAAAAGTTTAGAAATATATATTGAATTTGCCATTACCTAAACATCGCCACCTACTGTCGCATTTGTATAATGCGCTTAAAATGTTATATTTGCAACTGTATAGCTGAGTCACCAGCCAAGTCTTAATTTCAGCGGGTTTCCTCTGTGTAAGACTTAGTTGAATTTGTTGTCATCTGTCTGTCTGAAGAGATAATGAGGTGTGCCTCTGGGGGTGAAATCCAACTGTGCATTAGCAGCACCAAAGTGACCTTCCCAAGGCACAGGCAAGGGCAGTGTGTATGGAAGTCCTGGGCTGCCCAGACGACAATACCCCTGTCTCAGCTTTGCTGATGTGGTCCAAAGGAAAGCAGAGTGATAAGTTTGGGCACCAGCTTGGCTGCAGGAGTTGCCAGAAGGAGGCGTAAAAGGCACCATCCAACCATCTTAGGGACTCCACTCTGGATTTGTGCAGTGTTTTGTCCGTAGATATCCAG